ATTTCGGCACTGCGATGTTCCACAGCCTGCATTTCCGAGTACACAACACCGGCATCGTTGCCTTCTCCATCGATATGCCAAACTTCGGTAACAACGCTCTCATCTGTAATGGTGGGCACAATCACATGCTCCAAATAGACAGGAAGGATTTGTGCGAAGCCCTCCCAGCCAGCAGTTTCAAGTGTATAGGCTGTGTGATCGGTAGCAGTCCAAGCATTTGTACCAGAGTATGCTCGTGAGGACAGCTTATCTAGAAGACCTTTCCACTGATAGTTCTTTGAGCCCATGAAGATCAGATGCTCAAGAGTGTGGGGTGCACCAGAGTCGTCGAAGATCTCGGTAGCGAGGGTGAAGTAGCCGTTGATCTTGGGTCCCTTGCGATCGGCGACTACGACCTGCATGCCACTTCGCTCGGAGACATACTGGGTGATTGTACAGGGAGCATAGTCGGTCTGAAAACTCTGCACTTTGCGGAAACTGGGCTTCAACTTTTGAGAAGGCATTTTGAAGTCTTGCGAGTAGATGCGCCCTTTCCAGCCAGACCTAAGCAGTAGGAGGTCAGTACAAATGCAATAACAGTCAATGTCTAACCCCTTGTCGTTAAGCTAATGTGCCTAGAAAGGAGAAAACGAGATGAGGGAGCAGTGGTATGATTATGCAGAAATTGTTTGGGTTAAAAAAGCTGGTGCACAGAAAAAGAAGTGGCAGATGACGTCTGCATGGACCACCCAGACAGATGAGTATAGAAGAACCAACCTCAGCAGGTGGCTTTCCAGGAATGCGCAGACAGATTGGCCATATTCGCCGATGAACAGAAAGTACCCGCCGACGCTGATGATGGCGACAACAAGCGGTAAAAGCTCATTCGTAAGTCTAGCTGGAAGCATCTAAGAGGGTCTTCCAGCGGAGCTGCGCAGGAGCCAAACGATAACTTCCAACTTGGGCTTTTGATAAGAGAATGTGGGTAGCTTAAGGTGAACGGATCGGTGAGGCGGTTCGCAGAATGAATAAGAAGCAGAGGGCATGCGGGATGTTTCGTTTCAGCAACTCACCAAACACAACGACGCCTTAGCAAGTGAAGACAGGGCAAACTACGCTCTGTCCGTAGAAGATAAAACGTCCTGAACGAGGTCTCTTCTTAACTAATTTCTGGTCAGCTGCAACTGGAGATGGAAAAGAGAAGATCTCGGCCCGCGATCCAAGGTGAGGGGCTGTCGAGACGGCTTATGGAATGTCCCCGGCCGGAGAAGACGAGCCCAACGGTCTGCAAGACTCTCGCGCGTCTGACGGCAATAGTTTTCAACAAACTTGATCCCTGTCTAGTCGAAGGATTAAGAACAATATGAAAGTACGTACCGCCAAAAGCTTTGTTTCGTCCAGATGGATCCCATTGTCTGGCCGCTGGTTGGTGGGGGATTCAAAGAAGCAATGCCGGTGACATGTGCCCGCACCTGCGCCACACAATGAGGGGTTTTAACCGCCGTTAGGCGCGTACACGCCACCAACAGCCACTGGATTCAATGCATGGAGGCGCCAGCCTCAGCTGTCTGTGGCGCAGTACATCGTGCCGCGCCAAAAGCTGCAGGCGAGTGACGTTGAAGTTGCCAGCTACCTGGTACCTAAGCTCAAATGCTGGCTTCATCAAAAAAAGGTGAACCTCATCCGACTTGCGCAAACCAACGCGCCCGCACCCCCAACGACTTGGTGTCATGTCCTGCGATGCCAGCTGACCCTCTACCCAGCATTGATGCTATTTACTGAGGTTAATCCTCGGTATTTCCTTCGAGTGACTCGGCAGACCATCGCGTAGTCGTCCGTCATAGCTGCAGCTGCCGAGGGTCACTGTGGACGCTACCATGGCGACAGCGACGGAGCCGCAGCAGCTTAGCAGCGCCATCATATCGTTTACCTTGGATGGAAACTTCCCTGAGGGTGCCGCCGCACTCCTAGCAGTCTCAGAAACCGACCTTGGCCCTACGATTGCAGCTCTGGATAAGGCCAAAGTGGATATTGAGGTACTGAAACAACCACCAAAGTTGAGCTTCGCTTTGGCAATGCAGCCTTTTTAACACCACGTCAATTTAGGCCGAAATACATACCATAAACGAGGAGACAAAAGATGACATTAGCTCGTGGGTTAAAAACTCTAAAGTCTTGCAGGAGGACATCGTCCGATCAAAAACCATCGCCAATGAGATCATCCTCCAATCAGAGGCCCCTGAAGTAACTGGAGAAGCAATCCAAGATGCCGAAGAGAAAGCCGATTTTCTCAATCGAGAAGTCCAATATAGCCAACAGATGCATAACGTCTTGAGGCGGATCCAGCATGTCAATCAGCTCCTCGCGGAAGTCGAACAGGCAAGCCGGGAAAGGCGCGTTCTGGATTCGCTGCGGCTGCTCGAAAGTGTGTACTCTCCTTATTCACCCAATCAACTGTAGCTAATTTGGAAAAAGAATCATGGGCGGCCCTTGACGACGTCGGGGTCAGCAAGACCACCCGAGTGATGAGGCTGTTGGATTTGAGAGCCTTTGAGCTGAAGTCTGATATTCACCAAGTATTTGACCATGTCTGGAAAACCCTAGTGCAAATCGATACAGACTCTGGGAAAGTTGCCATCTATAATACTCGGGAAGGTTCGTTGTGCAACTACGTATATATCGTTATTCCCCTTGGGCAACTTTCGCTGACAACTGACAGATGAGAAAATGAGTCTGGAAGATGCTGCGATTGGCTTACAAGCTTATAAAGAGGTTGATGAGAGAATGGAACAGCTGTGGCACAATTTGGATGCGGCAGTGGTGTCACCACGCATGGATGCTTTAAGATCAAACAGCGCGGGTATCAAAGTAGAGGGAGACGTGCTGGAGCTTGCAGGGTCTGCCGATGCCTCAGCTGAGTCTCTTTTGTCGGATCTCGAGCAGATTCTGACGTTTATTGCTCAAAAATTACCGGCAAATCTACTGCAGCCCTTGGCCAATATCATGATGAGCGATATCATATCCAAACTTACCCAAGAATGGCTCAATCCTGCTGTTCCTTCGGGGCTCAGAGACTTGGATAAGTTTCAGGCCTTGGTCTCAAAAATGAAAGGCTTTTGTGAAGAGCTACAGCGTAGTGGATACACTGGCCTCGAGCAGATACAAGACTGGGCCAGTAAAGCACCTACAATATGGCTTGAAAAATGCAGAGAGACTTCCCTCAATAGCGTTCGAGTCAATATTACAAGTGGGATCGGAGAGTCAAAACGGGTTGAAAAGATCGAGAGGCAGATGGTTTCCATAGCTGAGGGCAAGGAGCTTTCTAGAACAGGGGCTGGTGCTGTTGCTGATACGAACGATTGGGGAGATAATTGGGGGGAAGCTTGGGATGATGACAAGGCAAACGAGCCAACGATTGAAGCGAACGTCCAGAAAGACGCACCTGGAGGAGACGATGACGATACTACAGATGCTTGGGGGTGGGATGACAACGAGGACGCGAACAAAGATACGAAAATGGAAGAAGAGCCGGCGGAAAAGGAAGCTGCCGGAGCCGACGATGGAGACGACGGTGCTGATGCATGGGGTTGGGGGGATAACGATGATGCGAACGAAGATGTGAACCAGCCAGCAGAAGCTAAGAAAATCACTGAAACACCAGATGAGGATGATGGCGCTGATGCCTGGGGCTGGGGTGATGATGGTGGTGATGCCGCATCTGCACCTGCAGTTCCTGCTCCGGCACCTACATCAACGGCTCGCAAGATCAGGCCAAGCAAAGCCAAAGAGGAAACAATAGAATTAGTCTTCAAAGAGACATACAGCATTTCCTCAATGCCTGAACCTGTTCTCGAGCTGATCTTCTCCATCTTGGAAGACGGAGCGGCTTTGACAAAGGACACCGACGAGTACAGCCTGTTAACTGCAACGGCACCTGGACTTTTCAGCTTGCCTACATTCGTCCTGGCACTGTTCCGGGCCATTTCACCTCACTACTACTCGTCAGATGCTGGGGGGAACATGTAAGTCTAGGAGCACTGCATATTTCAACTCTCGCCATATAATTGACAAATTATCCAGGTTTCTATATAACGATGCCATGTATCTAGCGGAGAAACTATCCGACTTCTCTCTGGCTTGGAAACAGCGCGAGGACCTAACGCCTCGGGCGCGAAGCATGCTTCGTATCGACAATGATGTTAGGACGCTCAAAAGCTTTGCTAACCGCAGCTACGCGAATGAAATGAGCCTTCAGAAGACGATATTGCACGACCTCCTAGGAGGCTCGCAGAGCCTAGCACAGCAAGATGATAAAGATGCCTCGATAGAAGCTGGAACAGCACGAATTCGAAGCGTGGCCGCAACGTGGGAGCCGATTTTGAAGAGATCTGTCTGGTCTCAAGCTGTCGGATCACTCGCAGACTCACTTGCGTCGCGAATCATATCAGATGTACTGGAGATGTCTTCTATTGGACAAGATGAGGCCTTTAGCATTGCTCAGCTCATTGCTTTGGCAACAGAGCTTGATGATATATTTATACCCAGCAAGCTGGCTGGCACAGAACCAGTGTCAGATGAAATGCCTACAACAGCTCAGTACGCGCCAAACTGGCTGCGTCTCAAGTATCTCGGCGAAGTGCTACAGAGTAACCTCAACGAGGTTAAGTTCTTATGGTGTGATAGCGAGCTGAGCTTGTATTTCACGGTGGACGAGGTGATTGATCTGATACACGCTAGCTTCGAGGATAATGCAAGAACGAGGGGAACGATTAAGGAGATTAGTGCCAAAGAGCCGTTAGCTAGATGAAGGGACTTGAACGCAACGAATGAATGAATACGATGAATAATTATACTATTATATGATGTACCTTCAATCACCACAGAGTTGTTTTTCTCTCCATTCTCTGTTGAGCACTCTCACTTCCAGTGGAGCTTGGATACAAACCTGTGGCCAAGTTCGACATTTTGTGCGATAGCTTCATGAGACTCTTACCCTCCCGAAGTCCTCAACAACAAAGCATGGGCGGATGGTTTAGTGGTATAATTTTCCCTTAGCATCAAGCAACCTTCTGGTTCAGCTTAATCGCATGGGAAAGGTCCGGGGTTCGATTCCCCGTTCGTCCAGTTTTTTGTTATTATTTTTGCCACTCCCCCCCCTTTTTTTTTAATGAGAGAGAAGCATTAAAATGCTGGATGTATTTATTTTAGTAGCCAGCTAACGATGCCGTAATTTTATCTATTTTAGGATTCTAGATATGTACTATTCCTTTTACATTAAACTACCTCGAGATGTTAAAAAAAAAAAATATTACTTATCCTTGTAAATTCGCCTCTCATACAATTTTCTGGAATCATTTTCCAAAGCGTGATGGATGGGTGTGGGCATAAGCTAGTACTAGCATCAATCTATGTATGCACGGACATTTTTTCTTCTTCTTCTTCTTCTTCTCTTATACACTTCATAGGTAAGTATGTATGAAAAACTTTTTCAATTTAATTAAATTAAAAATGATTTTTTTTTTTTTTTTTGGCCAAAAGCAGAGGCATGCAATTTCAATTTCAATCCTTTCGATAGTCTCTGCTCTGTCATGACTCGTTCCTGCATGCTGAGATGGCTGTGTGGGAACAGGTGTCTGTTATGTTTCTTTTTTTTTTTTTTTTCCTTCTGTTTCTTATCTGTTGGCTTTACTTTATTCAGAGGGGTGCGTGGCAAATTTCCTTTTGGTTACTCTTCTCCTTTTGTTTCCACTTTGGCCTTTTGCCATTGAGATTATACTAATCGCTGATGTTATCATGACTTCCAAGAATTGTATTGAATAACGCAAAGAATTTGTTCTTATCCTATATATCGTGCCATTGAGTTTGTACTCTCACTCACAACGGAGTTCGTCAAAAACGTCCATGTAAAGCCCAATCCCGGCCAATCAACCAATACAGTTAGACAAACTCCGTAGGTCTTCCGTATCGGATGCCCCATAAAACCGGCACTTCACCGCCATCTACGACTTATACTGCCTTTCTTACACATAAAACAAGTTCAGAAGAGATACAACACCATGCATTAACAGTTCTCACCTTGTCGCCATTCTCGTCCAATATTTGTCTAGCCTTCTTTTCTTCTGTTTCTCGCTTCCTGGCTGGTATGCTTTGTATCTTTTTTTTTCCTCTCTGTGCCCCTCCCTTGCATCTCAGAGCCCGGCCCCTGACTCACATCGGCCTCTCCAAGCATCCCTACTCCGAATCATTGATTCGTCCATTTTGAAATCCAGCTCAGCTCGGTTCGGCTCTGTTGACCTTCTTCCTTTGCCCCCCTGGCCGACAGTCTGCATTCGCCAAGACCGCTACCCGCTGCCAGCACGGACAAGTAGTACGAAAACTGCTAATCGTACGAGCAGAGAGGTAGCACTTGGTGCCGGCAGTAGTAGCACTACATAGTAACTGTAGTGGCACCAACTCAGCAAGAAACCCTTCCTGGTCCACAATCGCAATTTGATCATCGTGATTTTTCTCTCCGCGGACGGATTCGACGGCACGCCGAGACACTAGCCAGTCATGGTGATAGGTACTAATGCTCCTCGCAGCACAACCTACAAGGATTTTCTTCCAAGAAGTAATAGAAAAAACAAGAACAAATAAGCATCCCCCTGCCCGGTCTCTGCAGTAGCGCATGATATTCATCAGCCTTGCAAAGACACGTCAGCCTTTCATTCTGTTCATAAAAAGCGATAGAACTGTCCTTTGTATTGGTATTACTAGTACCAATACATACACATCAGGGCAGCAGCGGGAAATCCTACGATCCCGGCCGTTGTGTATTGATACACACAGGGGATATACTCATAGCAACTAGGCAGCGTAAGCAGCCTGTCTCAGGAGGATCACCGCCCAGACCCCGGAGAATTGCTATTTTTACTGCTGTGCCTTCTCTGCCTAAAGCAACGAAGGGCTCTATGGCCGGCTCAACTGATGCGAGTAGTAGCTGTAAGATTGATATGTGAGCATCGGCAGCCTCACACTCACGGTGACCTATCACGAGCAACGTCCACCGCTCTTCCCAGCCAAACTCCTGAAGAGAGACAGCAGGCACAACTAGACTCGCTTGAGTCTAGATTGCACTGGCGCTGCTCAAACCTAATGCAGCTTTCTGCCTTCTTTTGCTGCTGCGCAGTAGTTCTGTTTCTGATCTACGGTCTAGACGGCGGTTCCTGGCGTCATCTCGCGATGTGCCGCTGGCTACCCGTATGCTAATGCTTATCTTGCGATGTTCGTCGTCGCCGGCACGCTGGTTAGCAGTATGAGCGGTACTAGTGGGAGGCCTAGCCAGGCACAGCAACAAGTCTTGCTTACTGGGACCCAGCAGTGAGGGAGCTACGCATGAAAGAGCATGGCATTTCCCCAGATTTTCACTTCCTGGCCCCCTGAGATTGTCCACAAAACGGGCTGGGGTGGACACGGGATTGATTGCCTTTCTCCTCTGCGCCCGTCTCTGCTTTGGAGTCATTTTTCGGTACACGAGACCGCATTGCGCGCGCATTAGGCCATATCCCGTCTTTCCAATGCACACGCCTCCCCCGTTTTGAACTTGAGAAGTAGCAATACTAGTATCATGTAGAGTACCAGGCATGTACTCGACCTGTCGTAACTCATACTCTCTGTAAATGGCATAGCCCACCACCAAAAAGGCAGAAAGAAAAAGAGAGAGAGAGAAAAAAGCCACCAACGACAACGGCAACACCCTTGCTAGCTGGACAACTGGGCTGAAAAAAAGACAAAAAACCCGAGGCAAGGAACCAATGAGTGGGAGCTCGTAGGATCAGCAGGGACTCGGTTACCGAGCTATTGGAAAAGGTAGTGCTAATACCTAGTCAGCGGCCAGGGGAGGGGGGGGGGGGGGATGACTTACCGCCCATACATTAAATGTTTATCCATGCCTGCTTGGATCAGCAGAGTGAGGCTGGCCACCGAAGCTGCCGCGGCGAAGCTTTCCCTGCTACCCGATGATACTACTACTCGTAGCTTTCACCACTACTGCCGAAAGGGGCCCTTGGGCGGAGAAATGTCTTTCTTTTCGGTCAATCATGCGCCAAGGCAGCCTGCTAGCCTTGAGCCATCCGATCGTGATCCAACCAGGAAATCGGATGCTGTTCTCCAGAGCTTTATCGGCATCCCTTCATCCTTCATGTGGGTTATGGCTCCTTCGGAATGACGTTGTGTACGAACCACATGCACACTCCGTAGCGGCAGTAGCACAGGTTTGACTAGATTGAGCCACAAGGTGGGCCGCCGTCAATCTTCCCCTCTGTGCCACACGGGACGGGACGAAACGAGGACTCGAACTCTATACTACTTTGTATGAGCATATAGGTAGGACTAGTATTCGTACAAGGCGGGTAGGTAGGCGTCAACGACGCTCATAAAATCCAATGAGAGACTATGATCCGTGACGGCCACCCATACCGGAGCCAGCTCCGGTGGAGGGAGCAAAACAGATGGATGCCATTGCAAGTATGGCTTGCGAAGACTGAGTACTCCGACTGTATTGGCACTACAGCACTTGCGTAGGATTTGTCGCTCGCGTATAGCTGCAAATGTGCGCATGCATGCGCATTAATTGGAATCGGACCATCTCCTGGAGTGTGCTTTAGAAATGGCACGCCGCCCAAGTAGCTTGTCCTGTGTGCGATTGCTCACACGCAGGACGCTCTGCTCTGCTCCGTTTATCCAAATATTGCCACCAACGCCGTATTCCATTTTATTTCCTTTGTAAAATGCCTTGCCGCCATACAACCCGCCATATGCAAGCTCAAGCCGTCACGCCCATCTACCTTTGCCGCTGCTCACTGCGTCGGCTCACCTCAGCCGTCAACCTTCCTTTAGGAACCTTGTAAAGGCCATTGTGACGTCGATTGCTTGGGTGCCTTTTTATATCAGCGTTCTTTAGCTTACAAGTACTAGTAATAGCAATGGTAGGCATTTTCAAGACGGCTGGCCCATAGGCATACACGTACAGGTACAAGTAAGCATCGGCGCGTCAGCTCTCGTTTGCATCGGACAACCTGACGCATGCACATGCAGTCAGCGTCTGTTCATTCTCGCAGGGTCGATGGGTAGTTCGACCACTTTCATCGTCCAACAGGAGATATCTGGTGGTCCAGGTCTTCTTCCGACAGCCGCACTGGTGAAATGGCCTTGTGGAGATGCGGATCAGCGTCGTGACGCGAGCCGCCAAGGGTTGGCATGTGGAGGTGAGGTGAGCTTCTTCACAGGTCCCTTTGCACCGCATGACGGGAGCGGGTAGCAGAACTTCTGAACCCTGAGGCGGGCGAAGATGAAGCTGTAGTCAGTTACAACATCGCTAAGCCCCCATGCAGCAACTCGTTCTGCATGCTGGCAACGGGGGGCCGGCTCTATGGCCACGAAGCGGCTTCCAGTCCATCTTCGGCGTGTTCATGTCTCTCGCCGCCCATGCCGATCTCGTAAAGCTGGCTGTGGTTCTTTGGATGGGTTCGAGCTTGCATGCCTTGATGCTCCTCCACGCGTATCTGTATACAGAAGAAGTACATACATGGGTCCATATTTGGTAGAAAGGCATAAGATAGCCCCCTTCTGCCGCCGCTTGATCTGCAGGGAGAGCAGTAGTTCATTGGCTTCGTAATTCTGCTAGCTTTTGCGCTCGCCTAACCCAAAAGCATTGCGATTGTTCGAACAGAAAGAAAAAAGAATAGGAAAAAAAGAAAAGAGAAAGAAAAAAAGGCATCATCTATGGGGGGTCTTCAAAATCCAGCCGCAGCTCACCCAGCGCTGTAGACTTCAGTAATCAGAGCTACTGCTGCCCGTACATGACACACGCGGGCTGTAGCTGCAGAATTAGCTCAGGCATAGCCTTACATTCCAGTGCTAAAAACCAGTGAGAAATGACAAGTCGTTGCGTGTGAAACAAAAAGTGATTGCGGTGAACAGGCTTCCAGAGCACTAAAAGACAGAGAAATGATTGTACGGTAAGAATTTGGAGAGGGCCGTGCCGTAGTTGACAACTCAGTTGCCATACCATCGGCATGAGTAGTTCTAGCAGCGTTTGATAGGCCGGCGCGGTTTACCGCCAGCGATGGCTAATGCGCACCACG